CCAAACCCTTTGCTTTCCTAGGCACCAGCCTGCCAGGGGACGGGGAAGTGGAGCTGGCTGTGGCCCGGGTCTGCACGTGCCATCATCGCATTCACACGTGTGAACCCCCACCCTCAGCCCAACTCGCCCAAACCGCAGCACCTCCAGCTGGCTGCCTGGACTGCGCTTACCGAGAACGTGCTCCCCCAGCGCCCTCTCTTCCAGGCCCCTGCAGCAGCACCCAGCGCCCTCTCTTCCAGGCCCCTGCAGCAGCACCCACACGACTCACACTGGTGCACCCAGGGATCTTTCTCTCACACATCAGGAGGCTGGGGGAACAGCAGCCTCTCCCCCTCCCAGGGAACAAGCCCTGGAGTTCCCATCCTCCCACCTCACTCCAGACACAAAGGCCTCTCAGCTCTCAGGGAATAACCAGGCGCAACTCATCCCAGACCCTTGGCACGTGCTGCTCCCCTCCCCGCAAGGCTTGCCCTCTCATCGGCAGGACTGACCCCACCTGGAAGACGTCCCCTTTCTTACTCCAGCCATAGCTGAGGACGGACAGGATGGCAGAGGGCACTTGGGGCTGCAAGAACTAGAGTAGAGATGGGTGCCTTGAAGGGTGTGGGACCAGGTGCCGGCCCTGGTCGTTTCGGAAGACTCGCACAGCTCCATGACGCTATGGGGGCTGGGAAGGCCAGCTCTGAACTTCATTTCCAGCCAGGAGCCGATGGCTTGAGTCTGAGATGTTGTCCACCCACAGCTGGATGAGGCAGCCCTTGGAGCTGAGGGCTGAGTGGCTGAGATGTTGCGGGTGTCCCCTCCGAGGAGCCAGCTCACTGGGGGGCTCAGGCCTGTACTGCAGCAGTAGGTCCCGTCCACCAGCTCCAGGGCAGCAGAAGGGAGAGCCCGCGTCACGGCACGGCACGGTTGGAGCACACGGGCAGCGCCTTCGTTCTTTGCCGAGAAAGGTACTACACTGAACAAGGAGCCCGCAGAGGAACCAGTGGGAGCAGCCACGGAGCCAGCGTCCTATGGCAGCGGTGACAAAGTGCCCCGACCTGGGGGGCTTCCAGAGGGTCCTGCCTACAGCCTGCACAGGAAACCCTGGCCCCATCAGCCAGCCACCTCTCGGCTGCTTTTGCATGCTTTGTGCCCTCCGCTTCTGCGACACACGGTGCTGTCCCCGCCAGTGCTTGTGGACTCACATCTCCCTTCACCTACCGACGCAAGCCACGTCGGACCTGTTGTCCTAGACCCCGACCTAATCTTCTCCCCACGTGGTGAGCATTAACCTCGTCTCCCGAAAGGTCACCGCCAAGGAATTAGGACTTGAATGTATCTTTCCAGGCACACAATCCATCCTATAATTCTCTCAAAACTCCAAGGCTCGCTCGCTCACGCTCTCTCAAGCCTTCTCGGGGTGCCAGCCCCCACCCTCAGTTCACCCAACTCCCACTTCCCGGCCACTGAGTGACTCCTCAGAGTGAGGGTCACGAGCCCAAAAGTGACAACACCGCGTCTTTAAAACAACAACAAGGGAAGAATGCGCAGCCTTTTGACCTTGGAGGCTCCTTAACAAGAGAGCCCTGGCCTGTCCTGGGAATTGGACCTTCTCCTCCCTGTCCCCACCCAAACGCTATCTCAAAGCAGTGTCCAAAACAGTGTCAAAGCCATGCCCCAAACAAGCACGCATTCCATGAAACCTAGGGCTCTCATGGACTGGCAACTTTTGAAAACTGTAAAGTTTGCTTTTGTCAAAGTTCGTGTCTGAGGTTCCCTGTGGACCAAGGCTCTGAAGGTGTGACATGCCACTAGCCTGGAGTGGCACACCCCATGGGGCGGCCTGAAAGATTGAGACCAGAATGCAAACCCAAGGCATCCGGGATCCCAGCAAGGCCAGTCAGGCCACTCAGGAGCGGGCACACCCCTAGCTGGGGCATGAGTGTGAAGCAGACCCTCGCCTGTCTCAAAAAGGGCAGAACCCTCTGGCCACGGCATCAGCTGGCCAACTGGAAATCCCTGAGGGCCTCTCCGAGGAGGCTTACCTCCGGTGGCCCATGGCGGTTCCTGCAGGACCCCAAGGCACCTGTGAAGGAAAGCAGACCCATCTGCCACCTCCTGGCACCCCTCTACCTAGCCACAGCAGGAAAGCACTGGAGAAGGCCCAGGGTGCCCCCACACAACCTTTCCCAATACCCCGCGGGGAGCGCCCCATCACCACCACCACGAGGCAGGACAGCGCCGCCTCATGCCTCATCTATCCACAACACCATGACATTGTGGCTTTTGTTCATATCCAAACAGACTCCAGGTCCAGCCACTGGACCCGAGAGAGCAGAGGCCAGTGTTGTCACTAGGCCACACCTTAAGTTGAGCACACGTGGGAGATGGCACACCAGGCAGAGACAGTCCTTTCCCTGATGTTCTGAACCTGCAGGTCTGCCATCTGCGCGGGGACAAAAGGAACACCGTGTACCAGGTGTCCAGGCAAGCCAGTGCTGCCAATCTCCCTGTGAACCAGAACTGCAGACACATGTCCTTAAGCACTGGGTGGGTTTTCCCTGGGACACACGGCCTGAGGAGCTAGCCCGAGCTGCCCATCAACTGGTGCCACGGGCACAGAGCAGGGAAAAGTGAAGAGGGGGCTTCCCCCTAGCCGTCCCCCACAGCCGGCAGGGAGGGCCGTGCCTCGCTGGCACAGACCAGCTCCAGCGCGGCCGGCTGCCTCCCAGGGAAGCCAGTGGCTGTCCCCAGCCCTGGCAGTGGGAATGAAGGCAGAAAAGCGGGTAAGAGCCAGGCCCCACAGCCCTGCGCTCCCGACTCACTTCAATGCTCCTCGTTGACTTTGGGGCGGTTCCAGGACACCGCTCCTGAAAGCCAGCTTGCCGATAAGCCAGCCCTTTGCCCCGGTGGCCTCCCTCTCAACACCCAGTGTCTCAAGTCTCGATTGAGAAATAACTGTCAACCCAAGGCCTCTTTCCACAGCAAAGCGATCGTGGTCCTGACCTATCAGCCAGCTTAACAGGAACGTTCGGGGGCCTGGGTCAGGCTGCCAAGTATTAGGCTGGCAGAGTTTAAATTACTTAATAGCATCCAAGGCCAACACAAAGGCAGGACTGGCTGAGCACTTGGGAGAGTTATGAATCAAGGATTTCGAGGCCGGAGTTGCGGCAGCGGCCTTATCCAATGTGGAAAATCCGTTTGCTGCCGCCTCCCTTTGAAGCCGAGCCACACATGCCCAACTATAAACAGATCACTTCCTGGAGGATCCGCCAGCCCACTCGGCTTGAAACCCAGCCCCGGCAGTGTGTACCCGGGATCCCCACAAACACCCCGCAGTACACGGCTCCCGCCACACTCCTCCACTGCCCAAGCAGGAGGCACGACGCACAGCGCCCTCCGCCCTGAGTTCCGGCTGGCCCGGCAGGCAGCATGACCAACAGGCCTTGGCAACATACCCTCTGCGGTGAACATGGGATACGAAGGCAAGCCCTCCTCATGAAGCTTCCTGCCCAAGAAAACACCCACAGTCTTCCCATGCGCCCTCCCCACCATGCAGCCACACAGCGCAGTGGGTAAGGCAGGGGAGTCTCGCACCGGCTCCATCACTAGTTCCCCCACGCCCTGGCCTCTGCAGGCCGAAGGACAGTAAGGCAGGCAGGGAAGACTGACCAGGGAGAGTTGTGCATTCTTGCTAAGGGAACCCCTTCGGATCCCCAACAACTGCCCTACCCATTATACTCACAAAGCCCTGGGGAAGCCAAGGACTGCCTCTTTTCCACCACCCAATTCTGGAGACTTTGAAAAGAACTGAATTATCATCAGGCTTCCACAGATTCTACTGAGAAGACGTTTATTATACAAGTGTCATACACGCAACAGTTGCTTCGGGAACATTCACAGGCCAAGTCTCCATTGCACCCACACACACCGCACCGCACACTCACCTCGGGGTTTGGCCCACTGGGAAGCACACAGAGCTGCTGTTTTCTGCCCACTGGGAAAACCCCTACCCACGTGAATGAATCTACAGCTGTGTGACAGACGACCCCACCACCAGTCCAAGTCAGTATTAAAATCAAATCCCATTTTCAGAAAGTCCTAAGAAGTGCACCAACCAGTATTTACAGATCCCATTAAATTATGCATAAATAAAACCTGTACATGCCACACTGCTTCTCAGACAGCGTCTCCACGGGCGACGGAGGACCACGGGGCGAGCAGCAGCTGCGGGCCCGCCTTTTCAAGTTTACTCAAGAAAGCAAAAATCAAGGTCTGAAATAAATATGCAAATAAAGCTTCTGTACCTTAAGAAATGTCATTTCCAAGAGTCTCCCGATTATTAAACAGTTAACTTTCCAAGTTTGGTTTTTTTTTTAAGAGGAAAAAAAATTGTCAGCAGGCTGTTTCTACAAGTTTCAGAAAAGCAGAAGGCCCCTCTGAAAGCAGGGCTGGAACTGCGTCCGACACCTCGTCACCAGTCGGCAGGTGATCTCCGAAGACGGTTCTGCTTCTAGAAGAAACTGCAGTGGACTTTGCAAGCCAGCTCCTACCTTCACACTGACACAAACGCGTGCAGCTGACTCAGCACCCGACAGCAACAGCTAAGTGCACGGGATTTTTTGTTTTGTTAGCCCAGGGAAGGTATTTAAACGGTTCTAAAACTTGTAGCACCACTTTCAGAGAAAGGAAGAATGGGGTTAAAAAAAACGACAAAGACCAGCGCTCGGTGAGTTCCCATTTTAGTACGTGTGCTGCTGAAGCCAGCATGAAAGCTCAATGAGAAAGGAACGGCCAGTGTCGCCTTCTGGTCCCAGGTCCAAAGTCAGGAGCCCCTTCAGCAGGAGGAAACCAAGCAGTATGTCAAGGCCGCAGCCAGACTCCCACGAGGCCCTGCCCACAGCGGGGTGAGGGGAGGCGAGCCAGGGGCTCTCCAGGCGGGCCCAGGGCTCGCGCCGCACCCTGCAGGCAGGGAGGAGCAGCCACCAGCCTCTTCAGTCCGGATCTGCAGCCCTGTCCTATTTCCTGTGCTTCTCCATCTTCTCCAGGGCTTTGTTACTGTCAGCTGGACTCTGGTCGCCGGGGTTCAGATAGGACTTGTCTATGGTGATCAGGGCCTCCTTGATATAGTTCTGGACGGCGGCCACGGCGGCGCAGATGGCCTGGCTGCCAAAGCCGTGCGTGATGAGGCTGAAGTGCGACAAGCAGTTCTGGATGCTGCTCTCCAGCACCGGGGTGGGCCTGCTGTTGCCGTTGGGCGTGCGGTCCTGGTTGAGAAGGTCCGTGAACTCCTTACACACCTGCCTGGGGGGGACAGGCCATGGAGGCTGGTGAGCGCCTCGCAGAGCAAACCTCCCAGAACGCGACACCTGGGAGGTCACCGGAGCTCACTGAACCAGGGAAGGGAGGACTGAGACTTATGCCACCTGCCCACGGCTGCGTGATTCCCAGCACTTCAGGTGCAGCCGAGCGCTTTGCAAGCACTCTAATTCAACCCGCATCCGAAGTCCGAAAGATAACAGGACTGAGGCCGGTGCAGCAGCCCAGGTCCCACCCCAGAGCGCAGCTGCAAAGCCCTTTGCTGCACCTTGCTCTCCAGAAACAAACTAACCTCTCGTTCCCTCCACAGTTCCTGCCCTAGCCCGGGCCACCTCGCCGGGCTCCCTTTTGCCCCATTTTCCGACGACTGCAGCTGGCTGCCACTAGCAGCCTGAGGACACACCTTGTGCCCACCTGCACTGGGAAAACCAAGGCCTGGGCATCAGGAGGGACGAATGAACTGCCCCCTTCCTCTTGCTCCAAGCCCTAGTTTTCGAGCCCCAGGAGCTGCTCTGGGGCCCCGTCCCCCACTGCCAGGTGGCTGGGTAGTGCCCGTCCCCCACTGCCAGGTGGCTGGGTAGTGCCCTCCTGGTCTAGATTCTTACTGCGCCGCCAACAGCATGTTCTTCCTGGCAGCCATCTCGTTGCGTCCACCCAGGTGAGGTCTGGTTAAATACTCCGCCACCGGCTTGCTAGGAAATTCAGCCTCGCAGACGTACGCGAAGTCGCGAGCCAAGTGAACGGCCTCACCTAGAACCAAGCAAGGGAGCAGGTTAGGGTGGCACTAACCACTGGCCAGCCGCTCTGCGCTCTAAAGGAAACCACACACACACACACACAACGAAGGCTTCAGCCACAGTCAGACCTCCACCTCGGGTCAGTTCATACAATACAAGGGGGAAAGATACAGAATCATTCTTTCAGAAGTACCCCAGTACTTTACGTGAAAGACACACATCTCGAGTTGCTGCTCAACTACCTGGATGCTCCCAACAGCCAGGAGCTCGTCTGGTCTCCCACGTGGCCGACAGGGACCCAGCTACCTGAGCCATCCCCTGCTGCCTCCCTCTGGGATGTGCTTCAGCAGAAGCCGGAAGGGAAAGCCAACCGGAGCCGCGACTTGAGCCGGGTCCTCCCACGTGGGATGAGGTGTCCCAGGCAGTGTCAATCGTCTGCCTCAAACTCCAAATGTTTGACTACATAGGAAACACACCCGCTAGCCCCAGCCCAGGACAGAGCCCTGCTTATCAAGACGAGCGGCCACCGACTTGGGGAAGGGAGCATTGCTATGGGTCACTTTCTCCCTATAAAGCTCCAAAGGTGTTGTGTTTTCCTGTTAGACCAGAGGGTCCCATGCAACTGGGAGAGGGGCTTCTCTTGGGACATGCCTGCTGCCCCAGCCCACACGGGCAGGAGGTCCCGTGGACTCTCTAGGCCTCGTCCTCCAGGGCCTCAGGTGACAAGGGGGAGAAGAAATGTGCCAAGCCTGTGGGCACCACAGCCGTGCTTTGGGACCAGGGAGAGGAAAGCCCGTGGGCCTGGCACCCCACTGAGGGCACCTGGGGCTGGGCGGCCATGCCAACATCGCTCTGTCCACCTCCACGTTTCTGTGTGCAGGCATGGGGGGTGGGGGGTGGGGGGGCTTTTCTTTTGCTTTATGTTGTCATAATTAATAGAGCATGAGTGGGGCAGCCGGGATAAACTCAGAAGCAATCCTGCCCACAGCTAAGTCGCCCGCTGTGCAACAATGAACCCACCCCCCCGGCTGGGGCATCGGATCCCTCCAGGGACCGGACACCGGCTTTCCAGGCAGGAGCCTTCAGTGCTGGCTCAGCAACACGACTGTGCTCCTTCAAGGCACACAAACTTTGCAACAGCTCCCTCTCCTTGGGAGAATCAAGACCCGGCCACCGCAAGCCACCCACCTTCCACCAGGGACGTGAGCAGAGTCACGTGGGCGGCCTTCCGGCGGCCAGCAGGGAGGTTCAGCCCGATCTTGTCCAGCTTCTCCCGCAGCGACCGGCCTCCATTTTTAGACTTGGCTCTGAGGAAAAAGCGGTTGAAGACGGTGAGGCTCACAGAGGCACACCGTTCAAAGCCTCGTTCCTAATGGCTCGGTGCAAGCCAGTGCTGTCTGCACCAATGCTGTCGGGGATCAGCAAGGTGCCACGGGGTCTCGGCATTAATGCCCATCAAAATAAATACATAAATAAATAAGGCTGCTCCTAGTGCCGCCTCCTTAAGAAAGAAGACCCCAGGGAACAAGGCAGACTGACTCCCCTAAACCTCTCTGGGGGCACACATCCCCTCCTCCCTCTGCCATTTCCCACCCGAATCAAACTTAAGCAAAAGAGACAACTCGCTCCTGCGGCTTTAGCACTTCCTTCCACTTTTGGCACTCGCTAAAAGAGGAGAAATGTACTAAAAACTCGAAGGCGATTAGAATTCAGCGTTAGGTATAAAAGTTACATAAATGTTAAAAATACCACGCGGCCTCTCCTACCGGCACCCGCATTCACACAGCCACCCCGAGCCTCGAGAACGCGGACCCCGAGTACCTTCGGAGCACGCCTCCCAGCAAGGAGGCATTGAGACATTCCGGCGGCGACAGTCGCCGTTGCACCTCAGCCACGGTCACCTTGTACTTGGATGTGGAGCTGAGCAGGGACAGCCTCCCCGGGACCGAGCAGAACACCTCGCTGGGGTTCATCACGGCCCCCACCAGCTCCTTCTGGCACGGCAGGCTCAGGGGGTTCTTGGTCATTGAAATGGGGCCTAGGAGGGAAGAGACCGGAGCTGGGACCTTTTCAAAGACAGAATGAAGTTGGGGCAGATAGCACGGCAGGGTGCTGGACCAGCAGCGCAAATCGGCTCGGGTTTTTTTTGTGCGTTTTTGTAAAGCCATAGTCTCCCTCGGAAGATAAATGAATCTAAAATTCACAAGTTAACACCTTAGGAAATTAATTAGCCAAGAGCCCAAGCACGGAGGGTTTTTCAGTTCCTGGCCGCTGTTGAAATCTTGTTTAATTAGAACATTTCGTTTTCAGAAGAATGCCTCCGAACTAAATAAAGGGTTTTTTTTTTTCTTTCCCACTCAACAAACAACCAAAAAGGGGGGGAAAAAATCCCAGGACACAAGACAGGCTCAGACAATTTGCCAAGACCCCTGAATGCCACCAAAGCAGCAAGCGCCAAAGCAGAAACTCCCCATTCCAAGTTTACAGGGAAGCTCGTTTCATTTCCCAAGATTTTCGCCAAATCTCTGTTTCTTCCAGCGCCGGGCAGGCTCGCAGCCCCCTGGATCCCAACACTCCGGCCTCGAGCTGCTGGAGCGCCTTCCCTCCCGGTAAGCCCGTCAGGGAGGAACGCCCGTCAGGGAAGCGCCCAGCCACTCACTCCCAGGAAAGCCTTTCCCAGCCCTGCCCCTCCCTCGGGGGTGCAGGAGCCTCGCAGGTCACGGGCAGGTTTGAAGTCAGAAACCAACCCTCAGGACCCCCCACTCGACCAGGCCGTGCGCCTGCGGTTTCTCGGAATTCAGTCCTGAGGCCAACTCGCCCAGGAAGAGCCCGTCTTCGTAACGCACCCACTGGGCCCCACGGAGCCGCCGAGCCCAAGAACCGCCAAGGATTCCAGGGGTCGTTTAGCTGGGAAAGTCTTCTCCCTCCCTCTGTCTCTAATAACGGGATCTTTAAACAAAACGACTCCGCGCCCGCCCCGCCACCGTCCCCTCCCCCACGCCGCGGGGGCATCCCCCGCGCCTCCTACCTTTGCGGATCACAGTCTGGTCGTGCAGCAGCAGGTGCTGGTCTTCCACATTCTGGGGAGAAACCACACGAGCGTCCCTTAGGTTCGGGGGCGCGCGGTGAGGCGAGGCTGCGGGAGCCCGGGCCGCGCCGCTCACCTGCACCTCCTCCATCGGGTGCGCCATGTCGTGCAGGCCCAGGTTCTCGGCCAGGCCCGCGGCGTCCAGGGCGTGCGCGTGGGGCAGCAGCAGGTCGGAGCGGCGGAAGGCATCTCTGCGCGCGCCGACGGCACCCCCGTCCAGCCCCGAGAGGTGCGGGAGCAGGCCGGCCGGGCGCCCGTGGTGCGCGGCCAGGCCGGCGCCCTCCTGGCCCTGGCGGCCGGGCCAGGCCTGCTGCTGGCTGCCGGCGGGCGCCGGCTGGTGCAGGGGGTTGATGGCGGCGGCGTAGGCTTCTCCCAGATGCGAGTAGGGGTCGGCCGACTGCGAGTAAGCCAGCTGCTGGTAAGGAGGCGGGAAGTAGGGCGGCGGCTGGTATTCGGTGACCCCGGTGTGGGAGAGCGGCGGCGCGGGGCTGTAGAGATGCTGCCCGGCGGAGGAGAGGTGGGGGATGCGCGGGGTCCCATTGCTGCCCGCGTCGTGGCGATCCTGGGAGAAGAGAAAGCGTCAGCGCCCCGTTCGTGCGAAGCCCCCGCTGCAGCGAACGGGCGCGCGTGCCGCCGAGCCCGGCGGGGGATCCCCGCGGGAGCCGCCCCGGCCCGAAGGGCACCCAAGGGCGCGGCGCCCCGGGGACCTCGTGGGGGAGGCCGGACCTGAGGCAACGGATCCACCGGGCCCGGCGGCGGAGGTCTGAGCGCCGCGACGGCCGGGGCGCTCCGAGGCGCCGGGTCCGAGCCCCAGGTCTTGGGCCGGGAAAGCCCAGAGCCCGAGGAGGAAGACGGCCCGCGGCGCGCCCGGCTGAAAGCGCGCTCGCTTTCCAGCCCGCACATGTCGGAGTCCCGCGGTCCAAGAGAGAGAGCGGGAGAAGGCGAGCGCCGCGAAGGAAGCGGGCGGCCGGAGTGCACCGCGCCCCCGCCCCGGGACCCTCCCTTCCACGCCCTGGGGACAGGACCTGCCGGCGGGCGCGGCTCGGATCCCGCCGGGGCCGCCCGGGCCCGGCCCCGCGGGAGGAGCCCGAAGGCGGCGCGAGCCTTGCCTGTGCGCGTCCCGGCGCCCCGCGGCCGTCCCACTCAGCTCCCGACGCGCGCGTGGCCATGGGCGCGGGGGGCGCGGGCGGCCCGGAGACGCATGGTCCCGTCGCCCCCTAGCGGAAGCGACCCCCGCCTGCAGCCCGGGGCGGCCCCCTCGAGGTCCCCGAGGCGCCGCGCGCCCCTCTCCAGAGCGGCAGCCCGGGCGCTCGCCTCCCGCCGCCTGCGTCTTCTTCTTCCCGCTCGCCGCCGCCCGCCCTCCGAGGCGGCGAGACTCCGGCCCAACCTGTCCGACAGGCTGGGGCACTGGCGCCCGCGGCCCCCTCCCAGCCCCCACCGCCCGTGGACGCCCGACTTCGCGTCCTCCTCGCCTCCCCGCCGAGGTAGCGGGGCAGGTGACAGCCTCGGCGCGGGCTCGGCGGAGGTGTCGCCGGCGAGCAGCCTCGGCGGAGCCCTCGGGACGCGGACCCCACGTCCGGGGCTGGCCGCCGGGCGCTCGCCCCTGGAGAGCGGGAGGCAGGGCTGCCGGCTGCCAACGCCTCCCGCTTCGCCTCGTGGGTGGCATCTGCCGCTCTCTCTCCAGGGCCCACTCTCCCGAGGGCTGCATTTTTAGGAACAAGGGCCGAACGCACGCGGAGGGCGCCCCGGAGGCGAGGCCCGCGCGTCCTTCCCGAGGGGCTGCGGGCTGCTGCGCGCCCGTGCCCGACTCGGTCCGGGGTCCCGGGCCTCGCGGACGGTCCTCGGCCGGGGCGGGGCTGCGCCCGCGCGCCACCGCTCACCTCGCAGTCCTCTTCGTACTTGACATTATCGGTTATTTTCCACAACATGGCGTCCGGCGTCCCCCAGAGCAGTCGCCAGTTAAATCCAGGCTCCCCCCACCCCCCGAGCGGTAAATCCAAAATTGGGGTCACGGTGGCCGGGGCGTCTGCCGCCGCCCCGCTGCGCGCGCAGGCTCGGCCGTCCGGGTCAGTGGACGCGCATCGGCGGCTCCGCGGCAGTGGATGCTGTTCCCCCGCGGGTGTGGAAGCCGCCGTGGACCGGGGAAGCCTTGCCCGCACAGTGTCCGGGCGGTAGCTGGGGCGGGGGGAACCCTAGAGCCTTAATGGGAAGGAAATTATCATAACTCCTCCCCGGGGGCCGGCGCGGAGGCCCGGGCGCGGGCGGGGCGGCCCCAGCCAGTCCCAGCCTAGCTCCGCCCCGCACCGGGGCCTGGCGGCGCGCCGAGCCCCACGCCGCGAGGGGCGCGCGGAGGGGTGCGTGGGCGGTGCCTGGCCGACCTCCGGGGCCCCTGCCGCGCACACACCTGAGCCCTGCGTGGCCGGAAGCCGCGATTCCGACACTCGAGGGCCTCAAACCTGGCGCGCGGTGGTCCGGAGCTGTCAGGGCCCCCTCACCCCGAACGACGCCTCCCAGCCCAGCCGCCCCTCCGTCGCTGCAGGTCTCGACTCGGATCCTGCAGCGAGAGCCGCAGTCCGCCTGTGAGATGCGCCCTCCAGTCCCCGCCTTTGGGCCTGGCCGTCGGGACTCCTGGCATGGGAAGGACTCCCTGTGGGGAGTGCGCCCCAAGCTCGCAGGGAGCCCCGGAGGCAGGGACGACAGCGAGTCCGACTGCGGCCCGGAGCGTCTGCGGCGCGTGCTGGCCCGGTCCCGCTGGTCCCTCCCGCGGGCCAGGCCCTCAGGGGCCTCGGCGCACCTTAGCAGAAGAGAGAGGTGCCGGGCTGAGAAAACCCGAATGCCCGGGGCGAGATGCGCCGGAGGGAGTGGCGGGGAGGGACGTGGAGAAGCTGCCTCTGGAGAGGTGAGCCCCGGGTCCCACAGGTGGAAGCTCCCGCACCAACTCCCCCCACCGCAAGTGCCCTTACCAGGCAGTCCTAACAGCGCACTCCAGCAAAGCGTCAAGTCTTTAAAAATGTAAAAAAACGAAATCCGTGGGTGAGTTAGAATTACCGCCCGTTTCAGTGCAGGAGGGAGAGTCCTGTCGGTTTCCCGGGGGTGTGAACCCTACATTCCCGCCACAGTAGCCCCTCCGCCCCTCACGGCCCACTGTCTTCCTATCCCCTCCTCACAGCTCTGTGTGCTTTCTAGCACTACCTTGGACCCAAGCGGGCCTAAAAACCAAAAATCTAGGACTGGCAAAGTCCTAGCTAGTCGTCCCCCTCGCCCTAAGGAGCAGCCGCCAGCTCCAGGGTGCTTTCCTCGACCGAGGTGACCCAGCATCTGGAGCTTGGAACCGGGGGCTGGCGTGGGGAGAGCCTCAGAAACCAAGGGCGCCCACGAGACTTTGCTAGGGCCATGCCCTTAAGGGGGGGGGGGGGCTCGCGCGCCCCTGGCGCCGCGCTTCCAAAGCCCAGGGGCGCGGGGAGCGCCGTCTATCAATCACTTGGGGCACCAGCGGCGCTACTCGCGGCCAGGCAGGGAGGCACCTGTGCCCTGGCTAGGACCGCAGCGGAGCCCCAGGCTCAAGATGAGTGAGTTCCGGCTCCCCACCAAGGCGCTGTCCGCCCTGGGCCTCCCAGCCCCGGCTTTCCACCCCAGGACCCTGCCCGGGATGCAGCTTGAGAGGGCTGTGCAACCGCAACTTCAGCCCCTCGGGCTGAGACCCACCGAGGGCTGGCCCGTCATGCAGGTCCAGGGCCGTCCTTCCCGCAGCAGTGCCAGCTGAACCGCCAAGGAGGGACAGAGATCCTGCCTGCCCTGGAGTGCTTACGGCGCGGGCGAAGGCAGCCGGTGGCCAGGGAGGATCCGCGCGGCGCCTCTCGGGGAGCCGGGGCAGGGGCGGTTGGCGTCGAGGCTTCGGAATCCCTGGGCAAAGGCTGTGGGCTGCCAGGGGGTCAGCGGCCGCGACTCGAGAAAGGGGCTAGAATCGGAGCGCGATGGATGCAGAAAGCTCCATCTTCGTAATACCAGAGCTCTTGCCCCAACACGCACCCCGCGGTCTCCAGGGCAGGCGCGTGCCGCCGTCAAGGGGCTGGAAAATGCAATCCTGACTTAGCAAGGAACCCAGGGCTCCGGCATCGTGCCCGCAGCCCCGGGGAACGGGCAGGGACCGCAAGGAAGGGTACTCTGCACGCCCAGGAGGCCTCGCAGCCGGGGCAAGCTTCGCTCCACGCCTGGAGGAAGCAGGAAGACGGGCATGGACGGCGGGCTGAGGCTCCCCTCTGCCGCCCCCTATGGAGCCGGCACTCACACGCGCTCTGGAAACCCCGGATACACGCACGCCCCTAACCCGCTCGGGAGCCCCTAACCCGCTCGGGAGCCTGGGGTGGCCCAAGGCAACACACACTGAAAGCCACCGGGTGGCCGAAAGGTCAGCAGCGCCCAGTGCGCCGCCTCCAAGCAGGCGCTGGTGAAGGCCTCTGCGGCTGCCGGCCCCACCCTGGGCCAAAGAAGAAGCTGGGGCGGGCGGGGAGAGCTGGATAGGGTCCGGCCTGGGAGCCCAGCTGGAGCAGCAGTGGAACTCCCACCCCCACCCCAGACTTTCTCCCCCTCACCCCACCCCACCGCTTTGGCGTTTGCCACTGACGCGCGGTTTGTGAGTCCCGAGAGACAGCTTGCACAGACCTCAGCAACAGGCCCGACCTCCCCTCCCGCCCGCTGAGGACCACCGGGCGGAGAAGCCCGGGTCCTCGCACCCTGGCAGGCGCTGGACAGTCGCTTGGGCTCGGAGAGACCCCGGAACTGACTACGCCCACTAAGGCGCAGGCGCCGATCGCACCCACTGCCACTGCAAAGTACAAATACTCCTGGTAGTAGTACTACTAATAATAGAAGGTTTCTCGGTGCCTAGCAAAGTGAGATCTGCGCACACAAGGATGCTGTGATCTCCACCCGACTTCCAGCTCACTACTCCCAGCAGTGGGCAAGATTCTGGCCTGCAGTTCTAGTTTCCTGCAGATAGGTAAAGGGCACTTCAGGTCCCCCAGCTTCGGGAGCGCCAGGGTGTAAATCCGTCCCCCATATAGAATCCCCAGTTCGAAAATCCGAGTGTTGGCGGCGGGACAGCCATTCTCCGTCGCGCAAGGATCCTAGGGCCACCTCTTCCAGGCCGCCTTCCCAGGGTCTCTTGGGCACCAGCGAACAAACCTTCCTGGCTCTCGCCTGTTCCAAGAGAATGTCTCCCTCCAGAGGCCCCGCATGCCGAGCCACTGAAAGACTGACGCCCGCAGAGCCCGTCGCCTCGCCACTGACGTCCCCAGGCCGAGCGCCACCTGAGCCGTCAGAGCACAGGTGAGAGGCCTAAGGCGGGGACCCTGTGTCTCCGGAGGCCTTCTCGGCTGGGTGTCCCAGGTCGCCAACACCTCCGGGCCAGCTGAGCCCGGCGGCTCTAACTCCCTTATCTTCCGAGGAGGCCCACTGAAACCAGGCGCAGGGTACCCGAGTACCTGGCTTTCCGCGCCAGAGACACTGGGCGCAATAAGGCAGTCCGGGCAGCAGCCGGGGGGCCATCTGCCCCCGCGCGCCGGTGCCCCCTGGCGCCCAGCCGTTTCCCTTTGGGGCCAGTCCTGCGGCTCGACTCTGCGCCCTGCCTGCGGCTGGAATCGCATCAGCCCTCCGCCCAAACACCTCTCCTCTCACCGTTAGGAACTGGAAATTCATGTTGCCAGCTCGGCAGCTCTGCGAGACGAGGCTGTCGGAGAAGGAGCGAGGCGAACTGGAGCGGCCAGAGCGCCGAGTCCTGTGCTGAAAACAGCCGCTCAGAGCGTTTGTTTAATTAGCACGAGGGGGAAGGGTCGGGCCGCGCTATCGCGATTGGAAGACCTACCTGGAAGGGCTTCCTCACTCCTCCCCCTCGCCCTCCGCCCCCTGCAGCCAGCCGACCGTGGCCGGGGAGGGTCCTGAGCGGCTCGCGGCCACCCTTCAGGGCGTGTCCCTCCAGCGTTTGGGCTCTTTGCATCGGAAACGACTTGCAGTGTAGTTTACCTCTTACAGGCAAAGGGGCCTTTGGGATTTGTGTCTTGTCCCAAGCCAGAGCCGTGGCCATTTGGTCCTGTGACTTCTTGCCTGTCCCGGCTAGCTCGGACCTGGCTGCAGCCTTCCAGGTCCGGCTTAAAAGAGAAGCAGGGGCAGCAAACTGTGTGGCGGACAGGAAAGATGAGTGGTGGTTCAGATCCTTCCTCGGGTGCCAGAAATGTCTGTCCGCACCTGGGTTCGCATGCTGCTTGCCTTAAGAAGCAGACAAAACTGCATGTGTGTGCACGCTGTCTGAACTTTCAAAAAGCTAACCGCGCGCGCGCGCGCACACACACACACAGCCCAAGTACAGGCTTCCTGGGGACACTGGAACCATCCATAAAGCTGGCTGCTGTCAGCACCTAAGTTAGCAGGCAGGTCACCGGCCTGCCGTGAGCCCCCAGGCCAAGCAGGAGGGCAGGTGAGGCCGGCGCTGCGAGAACCTGCCCGGGCAGCCAGCCCCTCTCCTGGGGGAGGGGAGTTGAAACGGTAGCCAGAATTCCAGCAAGTGTCTAGCAGAAGTGAGGCGCTGGGAGGCGGCCGGGCGTCCCCCGCCTGCCGCGGCCTCTCTAGTCCCTGTGGAGCCGGGGCAGAAGGAAGTGGAGGCTCTGACCTCGCACGCCGAGGCGCAGACAGCTCAGCCACCCCTTCCTGGCAAAGACTCGAAGCACCAGTCCCCGCCAGCCGGCCGGTGGCTCCTGGGGTGAATGGGAGGAATGCAAAGCACTGGGGAGACGCACCCCTAACGTGTGACCGGGATTGTTTATATTTAGTGATTTTCATTTCTGTGTTCTTTGCCCCGGAGCCTGCTGCACCCTCCCACTTCCAGCTTGGCCACACCCAGCAGCTCGGGAGGGGTGGGACTGGGGGCGGAGACAACCACTGGGCTTCCTTAAGGTAACTGGTTTGGTTTGGGTGCTTTAATTACCGCCCTCCCCTCCTCACCGCCCCTGGAGAGGAGTTTGCAACGAATGCCTTGTTTTAATTTTTTCCCTCCAAGCGACCACATGAATCATTGTGAGCATCGTGGTTTTGTTGCCAAATTTGACCCGGGAAGGAAGATTTTTGGTTTTTATGAAACATCTGCGTCTTGCTTTTGTGGGTACA